ACAGACCAAAAATGTAAAGCTTTGAACTTTTGGGCAAATGACATAGTTTACAGAATGACTATATATACAGGTTAAGTCTTTTACATCTAGTTTTTAGTTGTCTTTGGCTGTGCTGAGTTTCCGTTGCCGCAGGCGGGCTTCCCTAGTAGTGACGAGCTGGGGCTGCTCTCTGTTGTGGCGCATGGGGCTCCGTGCTGGTGGCGCGTAGGCTGAGTCACTCTGCAGCAGGGGCGTCTTCCAGACCAGGGTCACCTGCGTTGCAAGGCGGACTTCAATCACTAGACCACCGGGGAAGCCAGGGTTAAGTCTTTAAAAAGATAATTGCCTTCATCTTTAAGTCTCCACTTTTTCAACTCTCTTTATTATTCCCAATTTTGCACTTGATTTTCAGCAGTTCCAGCCACTGAGCTGATGAATTCAGTTTTTTCCACTGTTCTCCCCCTGCTGGAATACTCATGTAACCATAACAGGCCAGAAGGTATTTCATTAGAGGGAGCACAGTTAAGGAGAGGCCTGGCCTGGGCATACCCCTTATGCAGAAGAGAGCCCTGGCTCTGTCTGGAAAAGAGAAAAGGAAAGAGAGAGATGTGGTCAGAGAAGGGAGAAAGGATGTAAACAAAGGCACAGCCAATTTTAGGAGGAAAGAAACCCACAGCAACACATTCCTAATTCAGTAGTTCCAAGTTTCTTGTTACTCAAATGATTGCAGTCCTTTGGGGTTGATGATGGAGAATCTCTGTTATCAACCCTGTAATTTGCACACATAAATATACTGTAGTTGCTGGTTTTCAGGTTTATTAAAATGTTGTATTGGGACTAGTGGTTCTTTCCAAACAAAAAGGCTGGTCATGTGGGGTCTTGCATCTTAGAAAAGTTTTAGACAGTTTCAGCCATTTTATGTTAAACTGGATTTAAAGATTGTTTTGTTGTTTTGTTTTGCATTTAGTGATGCCTTTGGCCTTTGAACAAAGCATTTTACAAGTGAATCTGCTGTGCAGAGAATCCTTTTTGTAAAGAGAGACCTTGTTACCCTTGGCACCTACTGGGAACATCCCTAAATTTGGATGGTGAAGTAAGGCCACCTTTTAAATACATCCCTGGAAGGGATGAAATGCTCAAAACTTGGCAGCGTTTCACTTCTGACGGCCTAGTTCTTAAGCCACATACAGTCTAATTGGTGGTGACAGCCTTTTCCATAAGAGCATTTTGATGAATTAAAAAAACTTCTCCTACTTCTCATGTCCTCAGTGAAATTACTGTGTTGTGTTCAACCTGGTGCCTTACAGAGTGCCTGATGCGTGGTAGGTAAGCAGAACCTGTTTGATGAGTTTGAATCTTCATTACTCAAACCTTATAAAACCTATCATTTATCTGTGCAGACAGATACTAAAGATCTTCAGAACTCTAAGACAGCATCAGAAGTATACTGGTAGGAGAATTGATTGATAGCATACAAGGAACACTGTTATATGAAAATAATAATAATAAATGAATGTAAATTGTATTGCTCATGGTTTTACATATTTTTTGGGTGCAGAAGAGGGGTATTTAGGTAAGAAGTCATCAGGTCATCCTTATTATCAAACCAAGTTTTTGAATTTCTGTTGTAATCTTGGTTATAGGGAATGCCCTTGATATAAGAACACTTTTTAAATGTTGCCTAAATTTGAGTTTCAGAGCACTGTACTTTTCTCAGCTATCTGTTTTGGCTTTTGTTGGTTACTCATTCAAACTATTGAGAAACCCAAACCAACTCTGGATATCAGAAGCTGCATGTTCTAGAAGGAGTTAGGACTTTTCATGGGTGAAGAGAATGTGGTAAAAGTCATTGGCTGCAGGAAAAGAGAGATGGCCAGGAATTGCCTGTCATTCTCTTGGTGATCACATCTTCAACTTGGTAATGCAGTTCTCAGATAAGAATTTATCTGAATTGCTCAGTGTGATATAAGATACTTGTTTATAGTGTTTGTTTTGTCTTTTGTGCTTTCCATGTATCTTTTCATGCAGTCCTCAGAAGGAACCTGGCTTTATCTCTGTTTTACAGGTTAGGAAACTGATGGTCCAAGTAAGTTAGGCGACTGGCTTACATTACATAGTTTGTAAGTGAAAGAGCCACTATATGAACCCAGAAAAAATTCATAGGGACTGGCTCCAGAGCCCTCCCTTGTTTTCCTCATCTGTAAATAGTAATACAACTCCTGCCTTACACAGTTGTTAATATTAATAGAGATAATGCAAAAAGGTACCTCCAACAATGCTTGGCACCTAGTAGGTACCCAATAATTGATAGCAGCTATTAGTAACAGTTTATCTTAATAACTATCATAATGCTAAGAGGATATTTAGCATTTTTTAATTTTAAGCCCTGTTGTGTTTTCTTTATTAAACCAGTCAAAAAGAGGGGGGAGGTATGAAACTGGAATAAGCATGGAAGTTGAAGTATTACAAATTGCCATATCGACCCCATACTAGTGAATGCTGAAGTGTTTTCACAGGTAAAAAGGGGGAAATCGAGCCCTATCTTGAGGAAGTAGGGCTGTACTCATGTTTGCCACTCTTCCCCTTATTTTTGTTTTCATCCTGTACTCTCAGAGATTGGAAGGGCTGAACTCAATAGGCAAACTCTGTTTGGAACCTACATACCTGGGTAGCCCTAAGCTTTTCTTTTTAATGGCAGCTCCAAATGCCATATACTTCAAATTTTTGTTTTTCTTAAATGTAGAATATTGCAAAATAAAAAATAATCCATAAATTGTGTGCTTTAGTTGCAGAAAATCATTAAGTTAGGGTTTTTTTTTTAATGTATTTCTGTAATTCTACAGATTTTTCAGTGATTTGGATGAATGAAAAATTGAAGGTCTATGTTGGTGACATCAAGATTGAGGGCCTTTGTTACAAGTTAGGAACTGAACTACTAAGGAAATTATGTTTTACCTACACATTTTTTCTCATTGATCCTCTTCTGTTGGAAGTTAAAATTTTAGAAATGATTTTTTATCCTACCAATCATTTCTACTATTTTTGGTTATTCTTTTTTTTTCCCTTGCTTCTTAGATAAGGACAGGAAGCATCCATAACTTCACTTTTGGGAACTTTTGTTTGCATGTCATCCAGGAAAAAATTTACACACTTATTTCTAAACATTTTAAAAATAAATTCATATACATACGCAATTTTTAAATTTTCTTCCACTAAAGTCTTTAAATTTTGAACCTAAAATAAGCACTTTCCACAGGAGCCCTGGGTTGAGTTTAGGATGCAATAACGTTTCATTATTTTTTACTCTTCTTTAAATATCTTTATATTTCTGAGAGTTGGACTTTGTTCCTTTTGCAGCTAAGTTGGCCACCTCTGTGACATCAGATGTTCCAGATTAAAAAAAAAACATGAATAATAATTTTAAAAGATGAATAAGCCTGCTTTTTTCCCATCTAAAGAATGACCTTCTAAGTAAGCAGCCTCAGGAGTGTGCCTCAGGAGTGCGGATATTATTGCTATGTGAAACATGCTGATTAAAATCATTGTTTCTGTCTCAGGCTGCAGATTTTTCACATCAGTTTTAAGTAACAGTAATGCTAAGAACACTTAATTAAAAGCGCTTGATATGGTCTGCTACTGTTTCAGGTACTTCAGGTGCTTTAGTTCATTAAGTAGCCCTTTATTTTACCGTCTTTACCCATCACTTGAACAAGAGCTTTGCGTGCAACGTGTGTATTGCAGAAGGGTGCTAAGTTTTGTGGGCCAGTGCTTAATTGAGTGAAAAATATCTAACAGAAAACAGTATTTTCTAGGAATGCTGTACATTCACCTAAGCCCTATCTTCTCGCCCTGCCCAGGCAAAGAAATCATAACGAGGGAGGGAGAGACCAACAGTTTGAATTAAAACTAATTAGACTTGGGGGTGGTGAGGAGGGGATGGGGGTGGTAGTGAATGAATCACTTCCAGGAGCATTGGAAAGGGAAATATAGAAATTTGGAGCCGTGTCTCTGAAACATGTAAACGGATTCGCCTCGGTCTCTCTCCCACTGCATCTTACACGGATTTCATGGTCTCCTCTTTGCTGAACGAGCTCAAGTCGCCCGGGAGCACGCGCTGATCCCCCGTGGTGGGCTTCGGGCCGACACCTGGGATAGCACCTGGGCTGCATTTCCTCGCCTGCCAGTGGTTTCCTCCGCGCTAGGCGTCCGCTCAGCGGCGGCTTCCCATTCATGCTTTTGACAGCCGCGCGGCCGCTCGCGAGCTGAGAGCAAAGAGCTCCTTGAACCCGCCCCTGCTCTTCGGATCGGACCCGGGCGGGAAGGCCCGATAGCTACGCCGCCCGCTGGTGTCCTGGGGCCGGCCGGCAGGCCGGCCGGTTCTTCCATAGGTGGCTGCGTTTCCGACTTCGCCCTGGCTCCACTCCGGGGGCTTGACGTGCAAACTTCGCCCGAGCGAGCTGAGAGGGAGGGACCGGCGAGGGGGAGGAGGCGGCGGGAGGCGCCTCGGCTTAAGGGAGCCGGCCGGGCGCCGCTGCTCGGACGGACGCGCGGACGGAAGGAAGGAGCGGGGCCGCCGGGCCCGGCCCGGGGATGCGAGCGGCCTCAGGGTGGGCAACCTGGGGGCCCCGGGGTGCGTCTCGGGCCTCCCCGCCGTGGGCCGCCGCGGCGAGGCGCGGGGCTGAGGCGGGGGCAGCTCTGGGCGCCGGCCTCCGCGCCGGGTGTCCGCGGCGGAGGCAGGCTGGGGACCCTACGCCGCGGTGGCGGGCCGCCGGCTCTCGTCCCCTCCCCCGAGGGGCACTGGAGTCGAAAGCGAAAGCGAGCCCGCGCCGCGGACTTTGCGCCCAAGGCGGGGGTTGGGGGGGGGGTGGTTGGAGGAGGAGAGCTGGGGGTCTGGGCGGCCGGGGGCGCTGTCAGTGCGCCCCACCCGGCCCGCGGGCCGCGCACGCCGCCGGAACTCCCCGGCGCCTCCTTAAAAGCAGCCCCCGCGCGACTCTTTTCCCCCTTTTTTTGTTACATTGTAGGAGCGGAAAGAATGTCGGAGCGGGCCGCGGATGACGTCAGGGGGGAGCCGCGCCGAACGGCGGCGGCGGCGGCGGCGGGCGGAGCAGCGGCCGCGGCCGCCCGGCAGCAGCAGCAGCAGCCTTCTCAGCCCCAGCGGCAGCCGCCGCCGCCGCGGCGCCTACGGCCGGAGGACGGTGGCCCTGGCGCCGCCTCCACCTCGGCCGCCGCCGCAATGGCGACCGTCGGGGAACGCCGGCCCCTGCCGAGTCCCGAAGCGATGCTGGGACAGTCGTGGAATCTGTGGGTCGAAGCTTCCAAACTTCCTGGGAAGGACGGTGAGTGTCCACGCCCTCCTCTTCCTCTCGCAACCCCCATCCCCCCATCCTCAGACCGTTCTCCCCTCCCCCGTTCCATGGCCCGCCCCCTCGGGGGTCAGAGATGCTATCGCCGGGCTGGGGAACGCGGAGGTGCCCGCACCTACTCCGTGCGTGCGTGAGCGTGCGTCACACTCTCGGCAACTGACCTGCCTCTCCCCTCCTCCTGTGTGTGTGTATCTCCTAGGGACGGAATTGGACGAAAGTTTCAAGGAGTTTGGGAAAAACCGCGAAGTCATGGGGCTCTGTCGCGAAGGTGAGTCCAGCCCCCTGATGGAGTTTGTACAAATCCAGGGGAAGTATCCTGGCCGGCTGACCAGGGCTGTAGCTTGAGCCCACCTGAGCCACTCCGCTCCTCCCACGCGAGGATGCTGTCTGATGAAAGGGGAGGATGGAGCGTTTGGAAAATCCGGTTTCCTGGGGCTTCGTGTATCCGGGAGCATCCAGAGCCCTTCAGTGGAGGCCTGGCTGGGTGGTTTAAGCAGCATTGCTTAGTGATGAACGCTGGGACCAGCAGTGAGTTTAACCCACGTCTCTTCAGGTCTGACCCCTTATGGAGAAACGCGAGGAGTGGAGGGAGGAATTCTCAGCTTCCAAAAGCTTCTCCACGAACGTCTTAGGGGGTTCTGGAAAGGACACCTTGCCACCTGTAATTGTCTGCCAGCAATAAAAATGAATTTTTAAAAAGACAGCACTTTACCTGTACAGCCTATTTCCATAGGATTTATGTTACAAAGGTTCATCAAAAGAATCATCACAACCAAGGAGGTGTTGGTCGGATTTTTTTTTTCTTTTTTGTATTTTTATGAAGGTGCCAAAATCAGCCGGGCAGGGCAAGGGGGGGTGGGGGAGGGGTCGGGTCACAGAATTTTATCTGGTGAAACAAGCCTTTGGTGCGCTTAGGTAGTGAAATCAAAGTCTAATTATTGGCCAGTTTTTAATAAAAACTGTTTGGTAGAAGGAAATAACTGTAACTAAACGTGGATCTCTAAATGAAGGATATCCAGGAGCTGTCAGACTTTTACTTCAGGTTATCTTTTTCTTCAAGCAGTCCCCTGTGCTGTCTGAGGCCTGTGTCGATCCTGGGCACATGGTGGTCAGAAAGGACTAAAGGTGTCCAGTCATTTCTAGACTGAGTTCAGGCTGCTCCTTCAGTAGTCGTATGGACCAGGACTTAAGTGAGGTTTGGTATCCAAAATACTGAGTTTATATTCCCAGGGCAACTCTATTTCTCAGTGTGGCCATTTATTTTGGCATTGTTATTGTCAAGGGCCCAAGAATAGGTGCAGCTGTGGCAAGTGAAACATTTTAAAGTCCAGAGTTGGCCCATTGTTACTCTGTCTCCACACTTCTTGGTTTTAGTGCCTGTCTTGTCTACATGTTCACAGTTTTGGTTTTTTGAGCTAGCTTTTTGTTTGCCTCTTGGCACTCCGGAAGAGTAATACCAGTGGCAACTTTCTGAGAGCTTCCAATTGGAGCAGATTAGAGAGCAAATTAGTTGATTTTGCGAATGAGAATTGCTGTTTGAGAGCAAAGGAAAGGAGGGAAAGCACAGGACTTGCTGGCGGTGTTGCAATAGGAAAAATCAGTTGTTAGTCCGGTTTTAGTGTTGAATTGGCAGCCTGCCTGGGCTTAAAAAATTAAAATCACTAGGTGGTAACTCTCCTTGGAAGCAGTTGGAATAGAGCTTTAGAGGACCTGACCCGCTCCTGTTCTTAGTTTTTCTTCCCTGGGTGTGGATATATTTTCCACAAAGAGTTTCTAAATCTGTGTGAAAACAGGGTGCTAATTATTGGTAATTCCCCTATAGAGGTTGAGTACATTTGTTTGTATTTCATTGCACTACTTGGTCTGGATTGAGACCCAACCAAATGTAGTTGCCTGGACCCACTTTTTGCTGTATTTATTATTTTCTCTTTGGGCATAGTCATTAAGATCTAGGACCTCTTAATTCCTCTCTTGAGGCACAAAGGGATCATAAATTTGGTTCTCTGTGCTTCTGACCTATCAAATTATTAGTGGCTATAAGCGGTACCATTTTTTTTCCTAAACTGCTCTAACCGTTCAGAAGATGCTAAAGCAGCCAGGGTGGCTGAATTTCTGCCTCCCAGTTTTAAGTAGAGACTGAAGTTTCTAATTCAGTCAATTTTCGATTTATTTGTGACTTTGTGGATTTTCTGGGATATGTATAAGGGTGTCCAGCACTTTAGACCGTGGGCCTTTGTTTTTCTAACAAATAGTTCATGTCAGGCTGTTTAAGAATGAAAATACATTTTAAAATTATCAGACACTTATCCTTTGTCTTTGATTGAGATTATCTCCTACCAAGGAAAAAGTGTTTTGGTGTTCAATTCTTACTAATTCTTCTTGTCAACAAAGTTAAGTTGAAAAGAAATATGTAGATAAATTGATACTATGAATGACGTATTAAGTCAGAAACTCCTTGTCTTGGAAGATATTTAGGAATATTGACCAGACTTTGAATTCTCCAGTTTATGATTGTGCACCTGAGTTAGAAACCTGGGTTTGAAGTTGCTAAACATTGCATTTCAGCTTTCAGAATCTAAATTCCTCTTTGTCAAAGGAGATGATAATACCTACTTCCCATGGAGGTTGTAAGGGTTGAAATTAAATTAGATAATGGAAAATGACTCCGTTCTTACTACTTCCTTTCAACCCTTTCAGCTGCTGATAATCTTAGGCCTGATCTCCTAATTTGGTATTTATCTAGGTCAGAAATTTTTAACCTGGGGCTTGAATTGGCTTCAGGGGGTTATGGTTGCCCTGAAATTGTATGCAAAATAGTATGTTATGTCCACTTAGGAGGGCAGGTATCCCCAGCTTTTCTTGGGTTCTCAAAAATTGTTCACTTATCTCTACCTTCAAAATTTCTAAGTTACAATCTCTCTTTTTTTTCTTTTCCTCTCTATTTGCTCTTGTAGTTTATTTTGTCCAATTGTTTCATGATGAGTGTGCCCAAGAGTTAATGCTGTGGGAGAGGTTGGGACTGTTGACTTAGGTGGGACTGAGATTATCTGTGGTTTAACAACTGTGTCATCCCCCTGTTTTCCTATTAGCACAGGTAGATAAATGTTAGGATAAAATATCAGTTATCTTTCAGAGATCAGCCTGTTTATCATTTATATCATCAAATTTTTATTGCCTTGCTTGTTTTGTTCTGTAATATGTAATTTTATGGCACAGTTGGTTTTACTAGGATAAGATGGATAATACATGTTTAACTTTCAAAAGACTAAATGCAGAAAATTACTTTTTTCTTAAAGGTGATTTTTGAAATTGTATAACATTAATTATGTTTAGATGAAATTAATTGGTATGAGTGAGTAAGGTTTTCGTGTTGGTACCTAAGCTTGCTACCTAAGTCCTTAAATGTAAAAACATGAAATGCCTTCACTTGACAGCAAATTACAAATAAAACATTGTAGGAGTCGACAGTGAAAATAGAATGTTTTCTTTGGAAAGTCATTCCTAACTTTTCTTACGTCCACCGCTTGTATAGTATCAAAGTACCCCGTATTTTTCCTTTGTCTAAACTCTCTTCCTATCACCATATGAAGGCGTGTGTTATGTGATGGCTGTTTTATTGGAGTGCAGGCTGCTAGAGGACAGGGTTGTATTGACGAAGCTCCTGCACATTGCTTGTGTTCAGTGAAGATTTGCCCACAAAATAAATGAACTGGGCTACTAGGAAGATTGAAAAGTTTAAGTGACCAACTTTCCATTGTATTGTGATTCAAAAAAAGGTATCTATTCTGTGTAGGGATGTGCTTTCTGGCCAGGGACTGTTGCTGAGCTTTTCCTGTGTCTCTGACCTGAGTTTAGCACTCCATTTACACTTTTCCAGAAAGAGTGCAGGCAAGACACCACCTTTTTTATCACTGATATTTAGGCGAGTGAGTAGGAGGGTGACCTCGAGTGATATCCACAGTTGATGACAGGTGACCTGCCTGTCAAAATAACAGGGACCTAATTGAGCCTGGGTGAAGATGGAAGAGAGGTTGGTTGACACCTGCAGGGAGCTAGGTACCAAAGGAAAAAGAGAAACACAGATTGAGGCAATGTACCACCTTTTTCTTTCCTGGGGATAAAAATTGTTCATAGTCAGGTAACTGAAAACAAACAGGTATTGGTGGGAAGGACTATTAAAATAACTGTGTAATAGACATAAAACCTCTCTGAAATAAAAAGCATCTCTATTTTTCTCTAGGGTTTCTCTTAATGCCACCCCCCCCCAACTTTTCTGATGCACAATTTCAAATACACAGAAGTAGAGATAGTATTTTAATGAGCCTCCTGATGTCTTTCCCATAGCTCATGAGTCCCTGCCCAATCTTGTTTCATCTCTGCCACACTCCCCACACTGAAACATGTCTCAGACACCATATTTCTTTTGGTTTTTTTTTTTTAATGCTTGCATGGACTTCAGCTTCTCTCCTGGCAAAATGGAGCCTTACTGCACTCCTCTCCTTCTTTTGAGGCAAGGCATGCTTCCATGAGCCTGAAAGGGTTCTGCAGGCAGCAGGGCTTGCAGTCTGCTGATACCTTAAGTAGAGACCCAAAGTAAGCCTCAGACAGGAATCAGTGTGATCTGGGTTCACTGCCTCCAGATTGCACTCACACATTCAAGGAGGGCGGGTAACGGCATTGGAGTGCCCACACTTGACGTTCTGTGAATGAGCACTGTGGCTCCAGGAGGCAGTGTCCTTGCTCACAGTTCCTGCTAACTCTCTGCCTGTGAAGTCTGCGCTAACCCAGGAGTGAGAGGGCCTGGGTAGACCTAGAGACACTCCTAAAGAAGGAATCTTTCCCTTGACCTTAGTATGGCCCCTTAGCTACGTCACTGCGGATTGCAGCCTCGCTAAGACTGCTTTTTTTTTTTTCCTTTTTAAAGAAGTTGTGTTACTTATATTTATTTTTGCTGTGCTGGGTCTTCGTTGCTGTGCAGGCTTTTCTCTAGTTGTGTCAGGTGGAGGTAATGCAGGCTACGCAATACGGTGGCATCTCTTGCCGTGGAGCGTGGGCTCTAGGGCAGGCGGGGTTCAGGAGTCGCAGCTCCCGGGGTCTAGAGCGCAGCTCGATAGATGTGGCACACAGGCTAGTTGCTCTGTGGCGTGCGGGGTCTTCCTGGGTCAGGGAGCCTGTGTCTCCTGCACTGGCAAGTGAATTCTTTACTACTGAGCCACAGGGGAAACCTCGGAGAATGCTTTTTATATTGAGTGGTTGACATAAAAACTC